TTTTAAAAGAGTTAAATCTCCTTTTTTTCTGTAGCAAAGTTAAAACAGCACGTTGACAACTGACATGAAGTATGCTCTTTTTTATACATTTTTTAAGCACTTCATAATAATCAATTCCTATTAAAGTCCAAAATGTTTTAAAAAATTCAGAAGATAACCCATTTATCCCAGGTGCTGTTCCTGAAGGAAGGTCCATAACAGCAGCAGTAACTTCTTCAAACTTAAAATCAACCTCCAAAAGTTCTTTTTGCATTGAAGTTAAAGAAGGAATGTCCTGTAGCAATTCATTTCTGCTTTGTTCGTCAGTGGTTTCAGCAGCAAATAAATTAGAATAATAACGTACAGCAAGTCTACGCATCAAAACTGGATCTGAAGTTTTTGACCATCATCATCTTTTAAAACAAACATCAATTTTTCTTGTCCTTTTTTTCTCCAAGTTAAAAAAGTACGATTTTGGGCCATCCATGTCTTTTATAGTTGAGAAACGGCTTCTTACAAGTGCCGCTTTAACTTTTTCATTTAAAATAGAACCCAACTGGTTCTTTTTTCAGTCGACAATTCTTGTAGGTTACCAGCATCATTAACAGTCGTCTTCTTTTCAATTTCCTCTATTTCCTATTTTCTCTATTTACTCTATTGTTTTTTTAAAACCAAAAAGGAGTGAGCAGCATATTGCTGACATAAATCCCTTATTTGAACTTTACCAATTTCCCACCCTTGAATAATATTTTCATATAACCCCTTCTCATTCTTTCAAGCCTCCCAAAAAGAATTAAATGTTTCACAAAAGTGTTTATCTTGCAATATTTTGTTGTTAAAGTGTATAGTATAGTAGCTCTTGTGAGTCCTGTTTAACAGTGTACACTCAACTGTGATTAGTTTGTGATCTGATAGAAATTAAGGAATAATATTTGCACCAACCACTCTATTTTATACATTGTTTGATACATAAAACCGATCTAAACGTGCACCAAAAATCCTCCCATCATTTATTTTTACCCAAGTGTACTGTTTTGTTGAAGCATTTTGTTCCCTCCACACATCTGAAAAATTTTGATTCTTTAAAATTTCAGCCAGACGTGAACCTGATTGCATATGGGGTTCTTCACCATTCCTATCATATTTAATGTCTAAAGTGCAATTCCAATCATCTCCTATTATAATAAAGTCTCCATCACGGTGTTGACTTAAAAAAACACTCTAAATTAGAAAAAAGCTTCAATCTATCTGCTCCATTATATTGAGCAAAGATCACTAATTTTGGCTCTTACAGCTACCAATCTACCTAGCTCTATCTCAGTTATCATTAAAATGTAACCTTTTAGAGCAGAGGAGAATAATATAGCCACACCAGCGCTAAGGTTCGTGCCATGACTAAGCACTTTCTTTCCTTTCCAACACAAACCCCATTCAGCTTCATTATTAGAATTGCTATGGGTCTCTTGCAAAAAAACATTTAGTTGCTTTATCCTTATGGATTCTAACAATAGGTTCCTCTTCTTTTCATCCCTCAAACCACTTCTGTTTAAACAACCCACCCTCAAGATTTCCATATAGAAAAGAGAGAGAGAGAGAGAGAGAGAGAGAAAGAGAGAGAGAGAGAGAGTGAAACAAAGAGGGAAAAAAGTAGTTTAAACCTCATAATAATTTAGATTTTTTCCTTGTTTTTCCTATCTTTCTAGTTGACCGTATATTAGTCAAGTGTTTCCTCAGACGTAAGCGCTTCTGTTGAGACAACTCGTCATAATTATGTTTCTTCCTGACAGACATAACTGAAGAGCAGTGGTGGAAAGAGTACTAAAAAATCATACTCAAGTAAAAGTACCATTACTTGCCTAAAAATGTAGTGTGAGTAGAGTAAAAGTATCTGTTGTAAATATACTCAAAGAATGAGTAAAAAGTAGCCCTTTTAAAAGTACTCATGAGTAGTGAGTATTATGCTGTTAAAAGTTGATGCGTTTACATGTAATTTGTGAATGTGTGTGTAAACGAAACATTCTGTAGTGCATGTATTGCCCAGCAGGCACACGATGTCATAGGACGTTAATATTAAGTTAGATTTAGGTTGTGATGTCAGGTGGCTAAAATTCAATGTCTTGTCAATGTCTAAGGATAACGTTATTTTGATGTCAAATAACAACATTAAATGACGTTGATATTTGGTTGATTTTAGGTTGTGTTAGAAAGTGACCAAAATCTAATGTTGAGCCAACATCTTAAACCAACATCCTGACGTCAAATACTGATACTAATTTTGGACGTCTTCTTGGACACTTTAAATGCTTCCAAACAGTTTGCTGCATTTATAAATCTAAATGAGGCGATTTACCTTCTATGTGTGATTTGATTGAACAGGAATTACAGGACTGATTTGTCTAATCCCCAGACAAGAAAAAAATAGTAACTGCACGTTGAAAGAAAGTGGTGGAGTAAAAGTACAGATACAGCACTAAAAATGTACTCAAGCAAGAGTAAAAGAACACGTTTTTAAAACTACTCACTAAATTACAATTCCTGAGAAAAAGTAATTAATTACAGTAACTTGAGTATTCGTGATTAGTTACTTTATACCACTGTTGAAGAGACAAATTTGTCTAAATCAGGAAAATAATCACTCAGCACAGATTTTTCCCTTTGTTTAATCAAGAAAGGAATTAATTTGATCTAGGGTATATAGATCCTTATCAGCCTTCTTCACAACCTCAGACCATTGTTCATAATCTTAAATCACAACCCCTCCATTTCGTCATCAAAACTTTCCTTTGAACCACATTCCTGTCCTGTAGAACCCTCATACACAACTTCAGTATCACTTTGAGCTTTAAATTCATCACACTTAGCATTACTCACATCTGCATCACTATCAGTACTACAGCCAGGTTTCTCCACATTAACAGTAATATTAACATCCAGCTCACTCACACCTTGCTGTCCTGTCATTTCATCTCTGCGCTGAAATCTCAATGTGTCCATGTTACTCATCTCAGCTTGGGACAAAGTGCCTTACGCATTTTTATGGGGGCAAAGAAAATGTTTATGCCATAAATCTCCGCATTTAAAGCACCTCATACTGTCTGTGCTTGCATATCATGAAGGCGCTCTCTTTATGAATGATGCGAAAGGACACTTCCAATGTGCGCTCTGGGGGGTTTAAAAACCATGTACACCTGCCAATTAAAAGACAAAACATGTTTCCTTGCAGCATTTTTGCATCGGAGCAGATTCGCTTTAACAGGGCTAGCAAAAACGTTTACCAAAACATTGAAGTTCTTTTAGAATGACCACATTACTTACAAAAGGTGGAACATTTGAGATGGTAACGTTAGTTGCTAGAGCGGATAGAGGGGTTATCGGAACAAACCTCTTTTACCCATATTCCTCTGTCAACTCGTTTATTAGTAATTCAGATTTTTAAAACACAACCACGACCAAGTTTATCCATGAAGCAGAGACTATATTTTAAAGACTCTATTATCTGGAGGATATCCTCCATTCTCACTCCAGGGTCTGCCACACACCAGCACCCATTCCTAAATGACAGAGCTGATGCTACTTGTACTTGAACAGACACACCATACCAGCATCTGTTAAGTCTTCCAAACCGGGAAAACTTTACACTGTCTATTCTATAAATTAAATAAATATTCGGAGGAGAAAGAGGAAAAAAAAAAAAAAAAAAAAACCTCAAACAAACATTCAACTACACCTCACTCCCATCATACACCAAAGAGAGGAAGATAAAGAGAAGTGAAGAGGATAAAGAAAAAAAGAGGAAGTGGAGGATAGAAGAGAAAAAGGAGAAGAAGGAGAATTAGGAGCATAAAGTTAGAATAAGAGGCAGAGAGAATTAGAGAAAACACGAGACAGGGAGAATAAGGAGGAGAAAATAAGTGGAGGAGAGAATGAGGACAAGAGAATAGGAGGAGACTGAAAGCAGAAAACAAGAATAAGAGGGAGAAGTGGAGGAGAGAATGAAAGGAGAACGAGAAGGGGAGAATAAGCAGAATAGGAGAAGAAAACAAGAATAAGAGAAGGGGAGAATTAGAAGAATAAGAGAAGTAGAGAATAAGCAGAATAGGAGTAGACTGAAAGGAGGAGAAAATAAGACAAGGGGAGAATTAGAGAAGAGAATGAGAAGGAGAATAAGGAGAGAACAAGAGCACAAGGAGAGATTGAGAAGCAAATGAGTGAACGAGAGGACTACAATGGATTGGGAGGACCACATGAGATGAGCGAAAGGAGAGAATGAATAAAGGGAAAATGAGGAGAGAAGAGTAGGGAATGAGAGAAGCAGGAACAAAAAGAGCAGAGAATGAGCGAACGAGACGATAGAAGAGATTGAGCGAATGTGAACGTGGAGGAGAGAATGGGTAGGAAACGAGGAGCGAATGAGGGGAGTAGAGATTGAGGAGAGAATTAAGCTGCGGTCACACTGGGCTTTTCCTCCCATAGACTTCCATTAATATGCATGCGAATGCGTCAGACTGGCAACACGAGGTCATGCATCAAGTTTCGCAGGTTGCTGCAGTGCAGAGTTCAAGTCAGGTGAACTCGAACCTGCGAGAGGGGGAAGAAAAAAAAAAAAGAAAAAAAAAAAAAAAAAGGCATACTTGACTGAACAAAGGATCAAAACCATGACACTTAAAACAGTAAATCCCTCGCTTTTTGCACAAACTCTTGTGACTGCAGCTAAAACAGGAGAGAACAAGAGCAGAGAATAAGCAAATAAGGAACACATGAGGGAAGCACGAGGAAGAGAATGGGAGGAAAGAATGAGCGAACAGGAAACCTGAAAATAAGAGGAGAGAATTAGAGGGGAGAAGAGGAGGAGGAAAAAAAAAAATAAATAAACCCTTTATACACCTGCAAGGATGGGTTAAAATCTGCAGGACACCTGATCTCTAGGATCTAGTTTGAGAAACCCTGACATTATATAAAAAAAAAAAAAAAAAAAAAAAGGGGCATTGTGGCAGCAAGACTGCAAGAACCAGACCAACACATAATTTCTTTTAAAAGGGTTTATTGAACAACCTCAGAACACAAGGATGATCATCGTACAAGACACCTGCACAAAATGCTGAATAGAGCTTAGCAAACTAGTATTTTACAGTTATGCCATCTCATGGTAAACATTTTGCTTAAGATGTCAAATAACTGAGCTTAACAATTAAGCTTTTGTTACATAAATGCTTAGACACTTATATGCAGACATGTGGAGGTGCTAAAAATCTTCAAGATCAGCTCCAATAAACTGCAAGAAAAATAAAGACCATTTAGATCAGTGAGAAACGCATACACCATTCATTAATCAGTACAATAACTTACACCGAGGCACACAGGAGTATGCGGTGTACAGGTACTTGTATGTGCCATAACACGGATCTGAGAAGACACCATTGGAGGCTGAAATGGAGCAGCTGTTCTTCCCTTCACACCTACACAGAGAGGGGAAAAGGGGAGAGGGAAAGAATAAAAAAAATAAAACACTAAAACCCACAGAATTAAAACTGGTCTTAAATCTAGTTAAACAACACTTTTATACTGACACATTAGCAACAAGTGTCTGTGAATTTGAGGCATAGCAGTTGGTTTTGGCAGTTTGGGAAGCAGGTCGTCCAGCAGCACATGTGCTGCTATCAGTTCGCCCGTAGTTAGCAGCATGGATGTGAATGAGAGATCCATCCTCTGAAAAGTAGGTTTCACAAGAAGTTGATTTACCATTGGCCAAACTCTGCAATAGTGTTTGCAGAGTAAAAGCAAAAAAAAAAAAAAAAAAAAAAAAAAAAAAAGTAAATAAACCAACTACACACCACATTTGAAGTTAGCAATGGCATTTTCACAGACTGCACTTGAACCTGTAGAAAAGATAGAAGTCAAGAAACATTCAAAACACTGAAGCAGGCAAATGTGCATCATTTCAAAGAGACCTGCTTTCACCTGAAATCTTGTTAGAGCAAATAACTAAGCAATTGTTCAAAGAGAGATCAGAGGTTGCAATACTCCTTTAAGGTGTTCATGGACAGTTTAAAATTCTGAAGTCTACTTCCAAGAAAAGCACTTTTGTCTTAATTAAGCTAAAGTTATAAGCATGAACAGATCTTCGAGTAGCAAACAGGAGGATACTCACGGATTTCAGGTGGGAGGCAGTAGTAGGTGACGGAAAGATATGAGCGCATGTCAGGGCAGGGATCAGTGAAGATATCAGTTGTAGCAAAAAGCTCACAACTTCGCAGCCCATTGCAGCTACATGTGATAGCAGGAAAAAGGTGCACAAAGAGGAGTGTTAAAAACAACGCCTTGAGAAATCCAACAAATTTTAAATGGCTTATTTTTACCCACCAAGGTAAAAGAACCAAGGACTACAAGGAGTAATAATTTTCCAGAACGTAAAAATTAAGCGGTTTGCACAAATCAATACCTTTGTGAAACAGGAGCCAGCGCGTTGAAAATGCAGTTTGTGTTTTGGGGAAGGACTGGACGCCTTCCAGAACAGTCACGTCTATTAGTACGTCCATAGTTTGCGTCGGTTATCTGAAGCACACCATATGCTACATGGAGAAAGAGAACCACATTTAATAAATCAACGTTTTGTTAGATATGTACACATTAAAACAAAGGTTGTGGAAAACGGCTCACCGCATTTCAAGACAGCACGGTCACCATTACAAATCACCATGGTCTCTGGAGAGAGAGGAAAAAAAAATAAAATAAAATTTCAGGTTTAAGCTGCAGTCACACTGCTCTTTTCTACCATAGACTTCAATTCACACACACAAATGCATCAGAATGGAAAGATTCAGTTTAAAAAGGTTTGTACACTCGAACCAGCAAAATATCAAATGATTGCATAAAACCAATTAAGGATCAAAAGACTTCTATGGACAGAAATTTAAAACATGGACCAATCTATAGCTCACATACAAATAAAAATTTGTATTAATAAAACAAACAAAAAAAAAGTTAAACAAAAAGGGGATTAAAAAAAAAAAAAAAAAAAAGTCTAATTAACTTGTTTAATTCTGCCCCTTTTTGCAGCATTGTACAACAGAATTTCACATGTTCAAATTCTTGTGAGTGCAGCAATAGACAGAAGGAATTTAAGATGCACAGGGACAAGATCATTACCACATACAGTAATGGTCACTAATCGCATTCCTGGAGGGTTTAGCTCAAATTTGGCCCAACACCTGTCTGGGTGTTTCAAATATACCTTGCAAGACCTTTATTAACTTGCTCTGGCATGTTTGATTAGAGTTGGAGCTAAAATCTGCAGGACATCAGACCTCCGGGAACAAGTTTGGTGATCCCTTATCTATAGTCTCAAGTGTGCAATCACTTTTAAGTCTTAGCTCTACACTCAACTGAGAGCTATTAGGTCTCATACCACAGAAATAAGTAATACTCACTTGTTGCACTAAAGCAAATGACAATAAAAGTACACTTACTAGTTCGTGGCGACACCTCAGCATCTAGAGGAGCTAGATTTAATGTAACACCTGCAGACAGGCTACAGCCCATAAGCACTGAAAGGGAGCAGAAAAATAAGCAAACAAACTTACATTGGCACAAAAACCCAGAAGTAGTAAGGTGAACTTTGATGCTGTAAAATTTAGTTTTTAATCAGCAAAACTCAGTCACTGATCTATGCAGTAATCTTACATAATTGAACAGATCATGGCTCATACCAGCAAAAAGCTATCTTATATGTTACATCTGATTCAGAAAATAAAAACTTACAGCAGAGAAAGGCCCTGAGAGAAAACATTGTTCTGATGGTGCCGTCAATGATACAAAGAGCTGTTACTGATTCATATTTATAGGCGGGTGGTGAGAGTGATAATGAGTCACAGCTGTGCACCACACCATCTTGAGTTAAGCTGCGGTCAGGTTAAGCTACGGTCACACTTGAGTTTGTGTGTGCGAAATTCTGTCCTACGGCGCTGCGAAAAGGGGCGGGATTTAAACAAGCTTATTAGGCAGGAAAAAAGCAAGCGATTGCTCCGTTTAAAAATTCTGTCCAGAGAGGTCGTGTTTTGATCCTCGATTGGTCTCACGCAGTCAAGTGATGCGATTTCGCAGGTCAGAGTTCACCAAGCTTGAACTTTGCACTGCAGCAACCTGCAAAACTTGAGGCATAACCCTGCGTTTCCGGTCTGACGCATTCGCGTGCGAATGAATGGAAGTCTATGGGAGGAAATGCCCAGTGTGACCGCAGCTTTAAGCTTTATCTCTGGACAGAAATTTAAAACAACCAATCGCTCGCTTTCATTCATTCATTTTCATGTCGACTTATAGTCCCTTTATTAATCCGTGGTCGCCACAGCGGAATGAACCGCCTACTTATCCAGCATGTTTTTATGGAGCGGATGCCCTTCCAGCCGCAACCCATCTCTGGAAAAAATCCACACACACACACACACACACACACACACACATACACTACGGACAATTTAGCCTACTCAAGTCTTTGGACTGTGGGGGAAACCAGAGTACCCGGAGAAAACCCACGCGAACGCAGGGAGAACATGCAAACTCCACCCAGAAACACCAACTGAGCTGAGGTTCGAACCAGCGACATACGCACATTCATACGCACATGAGTGCGTCAGACCAGAAACGCGGGGTCATGCGAACTCTGGCCTGCGAAATCGCATCACTTGACAGCGCGAGACCAATCGAGGATCAAAACATGACCTCTCTGGACAGAAATTTAAAACATGGAGCAATCTCTTGCTTTTTTTAATGTCTAATAAGCTTGTTTAATCCCGCCCCTTTTCACAGCGCCGCATGACAGAATATCACATGCTCAAACTCTAATGTGGCCGCAGTTTTAAACAATTGACTTTTTTTGGTCTAGTTGTGATCGTGTCAAGCTGCGGACACACTAGAGTTTGAGCTTGCGAAATTCTGTTGTACGGCACAGCGAAAAGAGGCAGAATTAAACAAGATGATTAGACATTTTAAAAAGCAAGCAACTGATCCATATTTTAAATTCCTCTTCAGATAGGTCATGTTTTTATCCTCAATTGGTCTCATGCAGTCAAATGTTGCGATTTCGCTTGTCAGAGTTGACCAAGTTTGAAATTTCCCCCGCAGCGACCTGTAAAATTTGTTGCACAAGCTTGCGTTTCCAGTCTGAGGCATTCATATGAATCGAAGTCTATGAGAAGAAAAGTGCAGTGTGACCGCAGCTTTACCATTCTGTGAGTGGCAGCACTTTGCTTTGTTAAAGTTTAAGATGTTACTTTTAGCAGTTTCCCCTCACTCTTCCCACATTGTGTGTAACTCATAAACTCTGCTCATGAGAATTAACAATATGAAGCCTTTAAAAACTTTCAAATGTAAGTTTTGCTCAGAATAAAAACAATAGACCTATTGCTTTTCCATATTTTAATGAAGCTTTGATTTCACCCATCCAAAACACATTTCTAATGAACAGCTTCATTATTCAAACATCCTGTTTGGATTAGGCTAGTATGTAATACAAGCCCATTTATCACTATGTCAATGACAGTAGGCTATGTGTTCACTGCATGGTTTATTATTTTGTAATATGTATAAAAGGATTTAAAAATAATTCATATTTCAAAGCAGAGGCAATATAGTCACTTTATGGTCAGGAAATTGAAACCTCTCAATTCTTCTTTTTTTTTTTTTTTTAAAGGTGGTTTAAGCATTTTTAATAAAAACACAAAGCCCTTGTATGGCAAGACAGATTACTTTCAGAAAAAAAAAAAATCTGTTTTTTAGTGGAATGCAACAAAGGTCAAATCGTGTTATCATAACATTTTTACTGTACTCATTCAAACTTGTTAATCCATTGCAACACCTTTGAATTTGTTGGAATAAAAGATTAACATTAACAGATTTCATTAAACAATTCATAAATAAAACTAGCACAACATAGTACAAGCTGTGATTTCTATGTGAGTTTTAAAGAAGCAGGACATTGAATTAGGCAGCAAAGAAGAGCATTAGATTTAGTGAATCATTATTCAGACCAGACAAACTTTCTTCTGCTTCAGAATCAGATTTATTGCCAAGTGTGACTGACACACACACACACACACACACACACACACACACACACACACACACACACACAGAATTTGTTTAGGCTACAGAAGCTTCCAGCATAAATAAAGTGACAACACAAAATAAATATGAAAAAAAGATAGACATTAAACAGGTGCAGTTAATCAAAAAGATCTGGATGTTGAATTGTATGTACAGATTTGTTATAAATATACAGGTGCTGTGTAAAATTGCAAATGGAGAAAGTATTGCATTGTATATTGATAAGGTGCTGTGTAGGCTACAAGTGCCTTAGAGAAAGTATTCCACGTTATTGCACAGTTGGGGAATTTTTATCTTTTCATGGAGGTAGATGGCCTGAGGAAAGAAATTTTTCCTATGTCTGGTTGTTTTTGTGGTTGGTGTTCTGTAGCATCAACCAGACGGTAAGAGTTTGAACAGGAAGTGTGCTGGGTGTGAGGAATCCAGAGTGATTTTGAAAGACCCTTTTACTCACTCTGGAAGCGTATGGTTCTTGTACTGCCAGTAATTCATTCCACAGGCCGGACTATTTGCCATAGTTTACAGAGATGGGTTGTGGCAGCTGAACCAAACCAGACTGTGATTGAAGTACAGAGGATGGATTGAATGACAGCTGAGTAGAATTGTACAAGCAGCTTCTGTGGCAGGTTCAACTTCCTGAGAGATGGTGGTGTCCAGAAACCTGAATATCTCTCCCAAAGCCACAGTGCTGTTTATGATGGCGATTGGGGGTGCAATGCAGTTTCTCCCAAAGTCCACTATCATCTCCTCTGTGAGCATGTTCAGTTCCAGGTTGTATCTGCACCAAAAAGCCAGCCGCTCCACGTCCTGTCTGCATGCAAACTCATCACCATTCCAGATGAGGCCGAAAATGGTAGTGTCATTCACAAACTTTGAGAGCTTGATGGAGGGGTCTTCTGCGGTGCAGTTGTTGGTGTACAGGGAAAAGCACAGTGGGGAGTGAATACATCCCTGGGGGCACCAGTGCTGATGGTGCAGCTGTGATTTTACCCATTTTAACTAGCTGTTGTATGTCGGTCAAAAAGCTGTTGATCCATTGACAGAGCTAGGACAGAGAGCTGGGTCAGTTTGTACTAGAGCAGTGATGAAGAGATGCTGTTTAAGGCAGAATTTAAGTCCACGAACAGAATTGTGCAAATTGTAACACCAGTTTGTTGTTTAAGCTGAAAGAAAAATGGCAGTGTAACATCAGCTCATGATCTAGGTCTGACATTAGATCACATAAGCTCTTCTGTAGAAGAGCCATACCATAGTGTTCTTAAATCTCTATGCTGATGGACAGTGACCTGCAGATTTTAGCTCCAGCAAAAAAAAAAAAAAAAAAAAAAAAAAAAAAAAAAAAGCTTGCTATGATTTCTATAAACATCCTTGCATGTCTGTTATAAGTTAGCCAAAATGTGCAGGACACCTGACATCCAGGATCTAGTTTGAGAAACCCTGACATAGAAAAGGAGGCGAAAGGGAGCATGACTCCAAGAATCAGACCAACATAATTTCTCCTAAAAGGGTTTATTGAACACAACTTCCCAGAGCATAAGGATAATAATCGTACAAGACACCTGCACAAAAGGCTGAATACAGCTTAGTAAACTAATGATATACAGTTATGCCATCTCAAGGTAAACATTTTGCTTAAGATAAAATCAAATAACTGAGGTTAACAATTAAGCCATTGTTACGGAAATGCTTAGACACTTATATGAAGCCATGTAGAGGTGCTAAAAATCAGCTCCAATAAGCTGCAAGAAAAATAATAATAATTTACACCAATAAGAAACACCTACACCATTCATTAATCTGTACAATAACTTACACTGAGGTATGCAGGAGTATGCGGTGTACAGGTACTTGTATGTGCCATAACACGGATCTGAGAAGACACCATTGGAGGCTGAAATGGAGCAGCTGTTCTTCCCTTCACACCTACACAGAGACAAAAAGTGAAACTCAAAGAATTAAAAAATTGGACTTAAATCTAAAACCACACTCATATACTGACTCATTAGCAACAAGTGTCTGTGAATTTGAGGCATAGCAGTTGGTTTTGGCAGTTTGGGAAGCAGGTCGTCCAGCAGCACATGTGCTACTATCAGTTCGCCCGTAGTTAGCAGCATGAATGTGAATGAGAGATCCATCCTCTGAAAAGTAGGTTTCACAATAAGTTAAATTGACTATTGGCCAAACTCTGAAATAGTGTTTGCAGATTAAAAAAAATTAAATAAACCAACTACACACCACATTTGAAGTTAGCAATTGCATTTTCACAGACTGCACTTGAACCTGTAGAAAAGATAGAAGACAAGAAACATTCAAAACACTGAAGCAGGCAAATGTGCATCATTTCAAAGAGACCTGCTTTCACCTGAAATCTTGTTACAACAAAGAACCAAGTAAATGTTCAAAGAGAGATCAGAGGTTGCAATACTCCTTTAAGGTGTTCATGGATAGTTTAAAATTCTGAAGTGTACTACCAAGAAAGCACCACTGTCTTAATTCAGCTGAAGTTAAATGCATGAACAGATCTTAAAGTAGCAAACAGGAGTATACTCACGGATTTCAGGTGGGAGGCAGTAGTAGGTGACGGAAAGATATGAGCGCATATTAGGGCAAACGTCAGTGAAGATATCAGTTGTAGCAAAAAGCTTACAACTTTGCAGCCCATTGCAGCTACATGTGATAGAAGGAAAAAGGTGCACAAAGAGGGGCGTTAAACACTGCCTT